TGTTAATCTGTCTATTGCCCATTTATTCCTGCAGACTTAAAGACACAAACCTTCAGAGGGTGGAGGGAAAAAGTCCCTTCGACCTCTACAATGTCTTCAGATGATTCCAACTCCCAGCTGTCAGGTCTTCCAATGGAGCCCCCAGACATTATGGAGCAGAAAGAAGCTATCTCTGCTGTCATGTCTGAATTCCTATCCCAGAGGAACCATGGGACAGAGTAAATGATTATAGTTGTTTCAAGTCACTAAGTTTTGGGATAATTTGCTATGGAGCAATAGATAATAAACACAATATAATTTTTTTTTATTCTGCAAGATAAAAGCCAATCTTTAATTCTGTACAAGTGATGAGCTTGGGGAAAAAATTGCAATAGTTGTCACAGAACAAAAGACAAATTTCTCTAATATATAAAGAGTTCCGACAACTCAGTGAGAAAAAGACCAAGGAACAAATGGAAAAAATGGGTCAGAGGAATGACTTTACAGAAAAGGAAACCCAAACATCTCCTAAACAAATGAAAACATGCTCACCTTCACTCATCATTAGAGAAATAAAAAATAATACCACACTGAAATACTATTTTTTACCTATCGGATTGGCAAAAACATAAAAGTTTTATAATGTGTTCTGTTAGTGAGGCTATAAGGAAACAAGCACTCTCATGCACTACAGTAGGAGTAGAAATTAATGCAACACCCATGGAAAACAATTTGACAATAGTTATCAATATTATAAATGCAGAGATTTGGGGACCTAGCAATTCAACGTTGGAGACTCTTTCTACAGATATATTCATGTGTATGTAAATGGGTGTATGTGTAATTTTGTAGAAATTATGTATACATTTATATAATTAATTACAACATTGTTTATAATAGCAAAAGATCAGGAACAACCTAAATATCCAACAACATGGGATTGGTTAAAAAAATTATGGAATATTATGCAGCCATAAAAAAGAATCAAGAGGCACTTCATGTACAGATAGGGTATGATCATCCAGATATATTTTTAAGTGAAGAGAGAAGTGTCAGAAGAGTAAGCAATTTGGGCTTTTAAACAAATACAAGCATATGCATAATTGCTTAGATATGTATAATGTATCCCTAGAAAGATAAATAAGAATCTGGCAACATGAGTTACCTCTGTGAAAGGGAATCTGATGGCTAAAGGTAGAGGCAGGAGGGGAGATTTTTTGCTTCTTGAATTTTGGTGGGGTTTTTTTCCTTTTTTGTTTTTTAGAGAAAGGGTCTCCCTCTGTCACCCAAATTGGATTGCAGTGGCACAATCAAATCTCACTGTAGCCTCAAGCTCCTGGGCTCAAGCAATCTTCCTGCCTCAGCCTCATGAGAAACTGGAACTGCAATTATGCCCTACCATGCCTGGCTGGTTGTTTTTTTTTTTTTTTAGAGATGGGGTCTGCTGTGCTGCCCAGGCTAGCCTCGAACTCCTGGCCTCGAGCAATCCTCCTACCTTGGCCTCCCAAAGTGCTAGGATTACAAGTGTGAGCCACTGCATCTGGTCTACTTCTTGAATTTTGAACCCTATGAATATATTACCCATATTCTAAAAATATGTACAACTTAAAATTTGGAAATCACTTGGCACAACTCATTAATGACTTAATTCTACAAATATTTTTGAAGTCCCAGAATGTACTAGGCAGTGTGCAAGGTGATGTGTATACAGTGGTGAATTAGCCAGCCTTCACTGAACTTATAGTTCAGGAAGACAGATGTCGAAGAGGTAAACCCAACAGCTATGGTCTGAATATGTCCCTCCATAATTCATATGTTGAAACCAAACCCCCAAGGTGACGGTATTTGTAAGAGGAACATTTTGGATGTGATTAGATCATGAAGACAGAGCCCTCCTGACTGGAATTAGTGCCCCTATAAGAGAAGCCCAAGGGAGCTCATGCTGCCCTTCCACCATGTGAAAGCACAGCAAGAAGGCACCATCCATGAACCAGAAGGCGCTGAGAGACAGCATAATGGGACAGGCCCTGACTGAGAAACCAAGTCAGGAGAAGTCAAAGGATCCCTTTGAGTGGGAATTAGGCAAGTTTCTGGCTATTTATTGCTGCAGCATAACCTGCTGTCCCAAAACTTAAAGGCTTAAAACAACACCATTTTGTTATGTCTCACAAATTTTGATGTCAGAAATTCAGGTGGGACTCAACTGGGCAGTTAAAGTAGTCATAGACCCATCCAGATTCAAAGGGAGGGGACAAGACCCCATGTCTCCATGGGAGCAGTGTCATAGGATTTGCACCCACCATGCCAGGCAAAGGGGAGGTGAGGGAACACAGGGAAGTAGGGTGAGCAGGAGGAGCAGTGAGGGGCCAGCAGTCAGGTCCTGCAGGGCCCTGAAAGCAAGTTAAGGATTTTAAATTTTATTTTCTGTATAATGTGACGCCACCAAGGAGTTTTAAGCAAGGAAATTAACAGCTCCTCCTGTATTACCAAAGCTTATAGCTTATGGCTTCCATGCCTGTTATCACACTCATCTCATTGCATTTATTTAGTGGAGGCTGGGACCCCTTTGTGTTCTGCTCCTTGTAAACTCTAAGTGAAATAAATGTGGAACACATAATTAAATTGACTAAATAATTGATTATCTAAAGCAGCCATAATTATAGGGCTTCATCAGTTCAATCCATCAGATTCTCAAACTTTAATGTGCCTTTGAATCTCCTAGGGGATCTTATTAAAATGCTGATTCTGATGCAGTAGGTCTGGTATAGCCTGAAACTCTGCATTCCTAGCAAGCTCCTGGCCATGGTTTACACTTTGAGTAGTGAGTGTTTAGAAATCACTATACGTAACATGTTTTCAGCTGCAAGGAAGAGGTAACGGATTGCAGGCACCAAACAACCAGAGGTGAAATGACGTGATCCAGGCCCAGGGTCTTCTTCCTGCCTCCCTCTTCTCCTGTCCTTGGCATCATCTTAACACGAGGGCCCCTCTGATAGCAGCTGCAGTTCCAGGAATCACTTCCAGACACTATAAAGTCCAGAAGGGGAAAGATACCATATCTATGTGTGTCTTTTTTAGGAGGAAGTCAGTCTTCTCCAGAGGTCCCCCAGAGGCCTTTTCCTAATGTCTCTGTGGCTAGAAGTGGCTACATTCCCAATCCACAATGTGGGCAAGGGGCTTGGGAATTCCGTGATTGGCCTAGATTAATCAGGCTCTACTGCCAGAACTGGGAAGAAACTTGAGTAAACCTGGGGTTCTGTTTGAAAGAAAGTGGAAGTAGGCAGCCCGCAGTGTCCACTACACTAAAATATGCAATTCAGTTAATTGCTTACATGGAGATCTACTTGTTATCGATACACAAGAGGGAATTTGGCAATTTTTCTAAGAAAAAATTAAATACAAATTAAAAATCATTGTCCAATACCCATTCATAAGTATATGGAAACAATCATGATTTGTGCTGGGGGTGGAAAGGTCCTGGACTATGGGAAACATAGTACCTGTTCTCTTGAAATCTACAACCTTGTTATGGCAACAAAACAGAAAGAACTAAAGCAACTTGCTCTATAAGCAAATGAATTGTTTCACACCATTTGCCAACAGTTTCTGAGTAATCAATATGGACAAAGAACTGTGTGAAGGGCTGTGGCAGATCCAAAGATTAGATAAGATAAGATACAGTCACCTCCCCTAAAAATTCTGCAGTTTTAGACACATACAAAAATAATGATGGGTGCAGCATATCAAGAGTTAAAGACAGTGAAACAAAGTGTTATGGAGGCCCAGAGGAGAAAGAGAGCCCTTCTGGCCTAGAGGGTTATGACGAGGCTGCGGGTATGTACCTTATCTAGTGCTAGCCTTGAAAGATGGGGAGATTTTTAATAAGTAAGATGCGAGAGGGTGGGATGGGGTGCGGGAATGGAGATGAGAAGGAGAGGAAAAAAAAACATTTCCAGTGGGGGGATAGATACACACATCCAGCACAAGTGATGATGTAGGAAAGGCAGGTATTCTCATTGGACTGTTATTATAATCGCTTATGAACACGAACTCACAAATAACAACAAGCAAGTGTCAGATCATACAAGGAGGAAGCAAGTCAAGCACAGCTTCTGGGAAGAGAGAAGCCTAAGCCACCTGTGCAAAGGATGATGTTCACGGATGAGCAGGAGGGCGTGGACAGGGCAGGAGGTCAGGGGGGCAAGCCCTGTGTCATGTTTACAACCCCTAAACATCAGTGTCCAGGACAGAAAGTTTCCTCGATGAATAAATTCCAACAACAACAAAAAAGAGATAGAGGGGGAATCTATTAATTAAAAGACACCGAAAAGACATATCAGTCTATCCGAATGTGTGGATTTTATTTGGATTCTGATTCAAATTGGCAAACTCTTAAAAAATACTTTACGTATTTATGAGATAATCGAGTACTGGGTACTTGAAGATGTTAAGAAGGTATTGTAATTTTAAAGGTACTGGTATTGTGGTTATTTTTTAAACAAAGAATCCTTATCTTTTGGAAGTACATTCTGAAATATTTATGAATGAAATGATGTCTGGGATTTTCTTCAAAATAATACAGGGAGTGAGGAAAAGGTGCGGATGAAACAAGATTGGCCATGACCTGATCATGGCTGAAGCTGAGTGTTGAAGGTCCATATACCCTTCTGCCTACCTTAATTTGAAATTTACCGTAATAGAAAATGCAAAACAAACTACAAAACAGCGGGGCTTGGGCGAGCGAAAGTGGAGGAGGCTCCAGCCTCGGCGCTGGGAGCCCCGCCCCTCGGTCCCCAGCTCCCGCGGGTGCCCCCTGTCTGTCGTCTCCCCACTTTCTTGTTGCCCCTCGGGAGTCCACGAGCCTCGCACATCGTAAATTGCTCCCTCTATTCCTCTCCAGGCCCCGCAGACTGCTCCGAGCCCCGAGAAGTCCCCCACGGTCCCCGGCCCAGCCGCGGCCACCCGGCTCCCCCCACGTCCCGGGGGACTTTGGTGGCGCCCGCAGCCCAGCCCGGGAGCGCGTCCGCGTCGTCATGGCGACGCTCCGAGCCTGTGAGGCGCCCGCCGAATTCCGCCCGGGAACCACCTCCAGAGTGAGCTGCCTCGGACCGGGGGGTCGGGGTGGCCCTGGTGTGGCCAAGGGGCGGTCGCCGAGCTTCTGAGGCAGCCTGAGGCCCGGGCCGGGGTCCAGCCGCAAGTCAGCCTTGGGCCGGGGTCGGAGGAGAGGTCGGGCCCAAAGGGTTGAACGAGGATGGGGTGATGCGTGGGTCTGGGGGCGACCCCTACCCTCGGCAGGGGGTGGAGTGAAAGGCCGCCGAGGGGAGGTGTTTGGCCGGGGGAGCGGGCTTGTCCCGGAGAGCGCAGGGCGAGGGGACCCCGGGGGCTTGGCAGGGGAAACGAGGTCGCGCGGCGGCGGGTGAGCCGGGCTGGGGCGGCGTGGAAATGGCTTAGCTCAGGCACCTGCCTGAGTGCCGGCGGGGAGTTGAGGAATTTGAGGGACCGGGAGGAGAGGGGGCCGGAGGGTGAGCCTGGGCAGTGTCGAAGGGCTGAAGGCGACCGGAAGCAGGTGGCGCGGTGCTGGGGGGGGAGGGGACATTCTTCATCGTGCTCGTCAGCCGGGATGTGAGGGAATGGAGAACGTGCTTTCAGAAAGTGGCTATGAAGCGCCTCCTTCGCCGTATTCACTGTGTGTTGCTTGAGGCTGTAGACTCTCCGGAGTCTAAAGCTATGGGCCTCCTCCACGAAAAAACAAAAACACAAACACGTAAAGATCCACGCGTTTTACATTGAGTTTCAGGGGCTTCACAGAGCATCCCTCCTGTCTGTGCGAGGGACCCAACTTAAGAGATTGAGTTGTGGGAGAGATAAGGAAATGTTACAGGGCAATAAATGGGCAATGTCAAATATGTAGTAGAAGCAGTGGTTGCTAAAGAATGTGAAAGGGTGTTGGATCGGAGTAGACTTCACGAAGAAAGTGGAACCTAAAATGAGTGTGTTAAGGGAAGTCAGACACAGGGTTCCACGTGAACCGAGAACTGCAGAGCCCCTGGGAATGTCCCCAGGACTATGCACCTGGCTGACTAGGCGTTACCTCTGCTTCACCCCCTGTTAGCAGAGGGCCCAGGAAGGTGACACATAAGTGCCAGGGCCCTGTAAACAGTGTCTCTGAATGTTAAAGAGTTCCATGGTCACATGCTCTAAGAAACTGACTTAGAGAAACCTCAGAAAGAAGAGTCCTATTTGACTGTTGACTTCAATATTTTCCACATTTATTTGACTGTGAGAGCCTTTATTACCCCCTTCACGTGGCCCTACAGTGAGCTCAAGAAGCATCTCAGGAGTACATTTTGAGGAAAGCTCTTTAGGAAAATTAAGGACCACAGGAGGGTTTGGAGCAATGGCACAGTATTGGGTTGTGATGTGCGTTCTAAGAAGATTAATGGGACAGCCATGCGTGTGGGAATGGAGTGGCCGGCAGAGATGGGGGGCAGGGAGTGCCTGAACCACAATGAGCCACGAAGTGACGAGGTACATTTGTCAGGGAATGAGAAAAAAATGTACGTGGTTTCTCATGGGTGATTATACTGCTACTCTTTTCTCCCCAGGAAATGACCTTTGGCTTTAAAAAGAAGACTCCATTTTTCATGATAAAATGGCAGTGGTGAAAGCCCCCAGCAGAGAACTAAAGAATGCCAAAGAACCCTTTAATAGCACAGTGCCCCTCGTTTTGAAGAGCCTGGTGGAGGAGCCTAAGAAAAGAACAGAAGTACCTAATCACCTCCTAGAATCGAGTAAGTGGCTAGAAGACAGATTTGCTTTATAACTCGTATCTTCCAGGGGAGCCAAAGTCCAGAAAGCATAATGGAATTTTTGGTGCTGATTTATCTATATCATTTTATAGGCTTATCATAGGTTTTATGACTAAGAGCAATGGTTCTATTTAGATCCATCTGCTTACCTGATAGATTTTTGTGGTGTAAATTAGTCAACAAGTTCTGTTGCTTCTACTTCCTAAAATAGCTCTCCTATCTGTCCCCACTGCCTTGTTTCTCATCTTCAGTGGGTTACTGGGACTCTTACACTGTTCTCCTCCTTGACCGCACTCTTGTCCTGTCAATTTTCTTTCTACAATCCAGGCTGGCACTTGTCCCTATCCTGCTTAAATACTCCCAACTGTTCCCATTGCATACAGAATAAAGTCACAGTTCCTTTGCTTGGCATTTGCCCCCCCTCACTGTTCCATCTGAACCTGCCCACCCAGCGCCATCCCCGTGCTGTGCCCTACTCATCCCTGGTCCAGCCACACCAGGTTACTCCCTGCTCCATCAGACCACTGCCTGGCACAAAGCGCTTTTCCACATGTCCCTGCTCCTGCCTAAGTAAAGAGCTGGGGAAAGTTTTATAGACCTGGACGCTTTTGTGAGCTCAGGTGTTTTAATTTTGTTCTCAAAACTGAAAAAAAAATTCACATTACACACATTACTTACTGTCCGGAGTGATAATTATTCAGGGCTTTAAGATTACTCTATATCACATTGTAATTCTATTCAGAGGAAATCAAACAATAAAAGCTAAGTACACAGTAATAAAATTAAACATTTGGTCTTTGGTTACTTTGACCTGGGTATTCATCACATAATAAGCAAGCTTAGTGCTAGAGCAGAGGCAGGCCGTGTACACTTTACAAGTTGGTATTTTATTGCAAAGACGTGTTCAAAATGTGTGAAGAGCAATTTCTTTTACTAAGTAATAGACAATATATAGGAATCAGTATTGTGATGGTAGTATCTCCCAAGCGATGTTTAAAAATAGAGAGGGAGAAGGAGTACAGTTTATTTGGAACAGATAATTAATCTTGTTGACAACTGTATCCAGTGTCTGCAACTTTCATATGCTTAAAATGCCCCAAATTAAAGAGAGCCGATGTTAATTGGATCTTCTTTAATTTAATATTTTCTTTGATGTCTCATGATACACTTATCTATGTTGTTTTTATAGAGGTTTATGCAAAACTACTGAATAATAAGGTGATACAGGCAAGACCTGGCATATTACATTTTGGAGGCTATCAAGTAGAAAAACAACACCAACAGATTCTGGTAGGTACTTTTAAAGTGGGCTAATTAATCGTAATAACAAAATGACATGAATGTTCTGCATTTCTATTACTCATTCATCTAAAGAACAGCATAATCGGCCAAAGTGCTGGTGTAATTGGGCCAGAAAGATAGTTCCATGATGAGAAACTTTAGAGTTGCTTCAATGTCCTTGGACAAGTTACTTCCAAAGGCTCCCCGCAGCACTGTTTCCAAACAGGTGTCATTGCCAAGTGACTCTTAGGGGCCAGGTCCTGTGCTTTGTGTTTTACGTGATTTAATTTAGACCTTATACTAGCTCTGGATGCTGCATTATTGCTCTCATTACATAGATGAAGAAACTGAGATTCCAAAAGGTTAGTAAATTTGTTCAAGGACACAGAGATGCTAAGTGATGGAGACAGAATTAGGCTGTTAGGTTGCCTGCCTCCAAACCACTCTTGCTGCTCACCCACAGCACCAGGGAGTGGGGCATCCCTCTCCTAGGAGGTTCCAGCCAGGGCTCCGTTTTACCTGCTTGGGTCAGATGCGCATGCCTAATCAGTCACTCTGGCCAGAGAGAACTTGTCTAGGTCTGAAGAGGCAGGGGCCAGCTCCGCTGGGCCTCGGTGTAGCTCTGTGGTAAACCGAAATCGCTATAGGCTTTGGCCACTTGGCCAGAAGAGACTGATGAAGGGCTGGACTGCCAAGTGGCAAAGCCTGTAGTGACTGCAGTTTGCCACAGAGCTACACTGAGGCCCTGTCCCCGCCACCACAGACTCTCTACTTACACATGTACTGCATTCTTAGAAGCCATGTCTTAAAGCGGATCATTTTAAGAAAGAGTTCCAATTATTGCATTAGATTGTTCAGAGTGAGGAGAAACACTGGAGGAAATTGACAAATGGTAAAGCTATTGGGAAGTAAAGTTAGGTTTCTATCAGGCAGTGCCTAGCAAACAGAGGAGAACACAGTTTCCAAGGGTCCTTATACATTGACGTGGGGACAGAGAATAGACCAGGAGGGGAACCTGCTACGTGCCGAACATTTCCTCCTGGGGTAAGAGGATTTAAAACTGTGATTAGGAACTTCACCCATTAACCTCCGAAGTCACCCTTCTTAGAACACAGCATCAAAGACCAAAGTTAATGATTCATTTTGAAGCCTACTTTTCCTGGTTTTAAGGTTTGCTGTCTAGGTTATGGTAGGATATATCTAAAATATTAATAATTATGATTCACGATTACTCCTTGTTTATAAACTAAATATATACCAAACACTAAAATAGAATTTTATTACTTTCTTATGATTCTCTTTTTTTACATCTTTATTGAGATATATTAATAATTCACATACCATAAATTCACCCATTTACAGTATACATATGACTAGATAATTTTTAGTATGTTCTCGGAGTTGTGCAACCATTGTCACAATCTAAATTTAGAACATTTCTATGACCCAAAGAGAAACCCCACACTCGTTCTAAGTCACTACTCATTCTCCACTCCCTCAATTCCCCCACCCCCGCTCCTGCCCCACTCCCACCCTAGGCAAACAGTCATCTATTTTCTGTCTCTCTAGATTTACCTCTTCTGGACATTTCGTATAAATGGAATCATACAATAGGTGGTCTTTTGTGCCTGACTTCTTTCACTTAGCATGATGTTTTCCAGTCTCATCTAAATTATAGCATGTATTGGTACTTCGTCCCTTTTTATGGCTGAATAATATTCCATTGATAGATCACATTTTGTTTATCCATGCATTAGTTGATGGATGTTTGGTTGTTCACACTTTGGGGTTATCGCAGATAATGCTGCTGTGAACGTTGATGCACTTGTTTTGTGTGGACATATTTTCAGTTCTCTTGGATATACACCAAGGAGTAGAATTGTGGTGTTATATGTTTTATTAGCTTTCTGTGGCTGCTGTAACAAATTACCATAAATTTAGGGTATTCAAAAAACAGAAATTGCTGGGAATGTGGCCAGCGTTCCCCGCAAAAAACCGGATCCCTTTGATAGAGTTGCAAGGGATAAGAAAATAATAGAGAAAAATGGAAAATAAAAGAAATAAAAGAATACACAGGTACAAAGATATAGTTTTATAAGTTTATGAAGATTATAGGCAAAGCGGGATCTCAGGGGTCCTAGACCTTCTCCGTGGGTCTCAAAAAGCCCCAAATGAGGTCTTACATGGTAACTTATAGGGAATAGTGATTAATTGCCAGGGGTAACAGATTTACATAACAGCAGGTAGTTCCTCTCTGGTTAACAGATTTCCAAAAGGCTTCTACAGATCCTTTAACTAATTCTATCTACGTGAACAAATGGCTACAAAATCTTTCAAAGATTAACTTCTAAGTTCTAAGGTAAGTTTATCACGTAACAGAGGGGTCAAACAGAGATATGTTGGCTCCATATTTAGTAGGTTATTGTGAATGGAGACAGGTAGTCTAGAGTGTTTAAACAAGAGCTTGTTTTTAGCCATTTGGGCAGCTGTCTGTTCCGGGGGACACTCCATTGTCAGCTCTCATCCTGTAGTTTTTATAAAGCAAATCCAAACCTTTAGGTCTGAGAAACCTTGCGCCTTGTGGGATACAGCCTCTACTATCTTTCAGAGATGCCCTTCCGAGTGTAACAGCATTTGAAATGCAAACCAACACGTTCACATATTCCTTCAGGACAAAGCTCTCAAAAACTCCTAAGACAAATCCTGTCTGCAAACACATCTATATTAATTCATGGAGCAACAAGAAATGTGTTCTCTCACAGTTCTGGAGGTCAGAGTCCTAAATCCAGGTGCCAGCAGAGCTGCACTTCCTCCAAGGCTCTTGGGGAGAATCTTCCAGTTTCTGGTGGCTCCACGTATTCCTGGGCTTGTGGCCACATAACTCCAATCTCTACCTCTCGCTTCACATGGCCTTCTCCTCTGCTTCCCCGGGTCTTTTCCTCTTTTGCTTTTAAAAGGACACTTACTGGATTTAGGCTCCAACTGCATAATCCAGGATGATCTCATCTCAAGATCCTTAACTTAATAACATTTGCAAAGACCACTTTTCCAGTAAGGTCACATTCACAGGATCCAGGGATTAGAACGTGTGCATATCTTTTTGAGGCCACTATTTAATTCACTAGTTTTATTTACTTTACTTATTTATGAGCTTACTGGCCATTTGTATATCTTCTTTAGAGAAATGTCTATTCAAATCCCTTGTCCATTTTATAATTAAGGGATTTGTCTTTTTATTGCTGAGTTTTAAGAGTTCCTTATATGTTTTGGATACAAGTAACTTGACGTATTCCATTCTGTAGATTCTTTTAACTCTATAGTGTCCTTTGCAGCACAAGAGTTTTTAAAAAATTTTGGTAAAGTCCAATTTATCTATTTTTTCTCTTATTGCTTATGCTTTTGGTGTCACATTTAAGAAACCACTGACAAATCCAAAGTCATAAAGATTTCCTCTGTTTTCTTTTAGGAATTTTATAGTTTTAGCTCTTATATTTAGGTCTATAGTTCATTTTGAATTAATTTTAATGAATTGTGTGAGGTAGGGATTCAACTTCAATCTTTTGCATGTTCCAGTATTATTTGTTGAAAAGACTGTTCATTCCCCCATTGAATAGTCCGGGCTCTCTTGCTGAAAATCAATAGACTGTAAATGTAAGCATTTATTTATGGACTCTCAATTCTACTTCACTGATCTACATATATGTCTATACTTAAGGCAGTACCATACTTGATTACTGTAACTTGTGTTAAGTTTTGAAATCAGAAAGCGTGAGTCTTCCAATTTTGTTCTTTTTAAAGGTTGTATTGGCTATTCTGGGTTCCTTGCAATTCCATTTGAGTTTTAGGATCAGTTTGTAGGATTTTGACAGGAAATGCATTGAATCCGTAGATCAATTTGGCGAATATTGCAGTCTTAACAATGCTAAGTCATAATTCTTTTTTATAATAGACATTTTATAACTTTTGTCACAGGTGGCATTTTCCACCTGTGTGGGTTCAAGAGAGGAGGTCTCACCTTTCTTAACATAGACTTTCCTCAGAATCACGTAAGTCTTAATTAGCTTGCCAAGATTCCCTTACTTCCAAGAAATATTGACATTCTTTACAGGATGGCAGTTAGTAGAGTTAATAATTAACTGGTAATTTTAAAAGTTACTATGCCAAAAAATTAACAGCAACATGACTCTTTTGGGTTATACATAGCCTTTTTAAACTGCAATTTTTTTTTTTTTGCTTTTTTGCTTAGTATAATGTCAATGATTTAGTAATGTTACTAAATTTAAAATTATTTTGCCCTCTTCATAATTTTAATCATATTGACTATACACTTTCCTATTTATTTCTCCAATATCATTTTTGGATATTATTTTATTATCACCAATGAACTTGTATTGTCTGGTGTATGCTGTCATGTTTTTAATAGAGTTAAGGATTTTCTTCTATTTAATTCTACACACAATGAGAACATCTGTTACGTGCCAAACAAACATTATGTCAAAACATTATGGGAAATGCTAAGGTGAACAAAATCAAGAAGTTTTCCAAGTAGTAGAAGGTATTAAAAAAATCACCACCTAGCACTCCTGGGAGGCCGAGGCGGGCGGATCGTTTGAACTCTGGAGTTTGAGACCAGCCTGAGCAAGAGTGAGACCCTGTCTCTACTAAAAAAATACAAAGAAATTAATCAGACAGCTAAAAATATATAGAAAAAAAAAAATAGCAGGGCATGGTGGCGTATGCCTATAGTCCCAGCTACCTGGGAGGCTGAGGCAGTAGGATTGCTTGAGCCCAGGAGTTTGAGGCTGCTGTGAGCAAGGCTGACACCATGGCACTCTAGCCCGGGCAACAGAGTGAGACTGTGTCTCAAAAAAAAAAAAAAAGAATCACCAAATAACTCAAACATGATACCAGGCAAGCAAGGCAGCATGAAGTAAAAGAAGAAAATGCTCTGTGGAGAGGCAGCATCTCACCCACGGAGGAGTGCATAACGAGGGCCCGTGGAGGGGAAGCCATATGGGATCACCCAACAGCAAAGCAGGAAGTGAGGAGGAGACGTTCAGGGCACAGAGGAAGATGTGAGAGAAGTTCAGGCTGAGCGAGCACGTGGCATATTTGGAGGCCCGTGTACAGTCTGGTTTAACTGGACCATTAGGGCTTTGGAGGGAGGACGTGGTGGAGAAGGTGGACATGTGGGTTGGGAAGAAAATGCCAACATAAGGAGCATGTGTATAGTCAGAAAGCAGCAGGAAGTTAATGAAGCGTTCTTGAGCAGGGGAATGATGTGCTTGAGGAAGACCAATTTAGTGGAATTTTAGAGGATGGATGTGGTTCTCAACCTTTCTTTAATTATTGCCCCCTGTGGAGGCGTTAATGAGAGAAACTAAATACTAAGGAATAAGATTTTGTCAGGTAGGGTTGAGCTTCAGAAGGTTGCAAGATGTTGTGATGTCTAAGATTGCTTTGTCCTCCCTAGAATCAATTTTCACTTCCCTTGTGTGTGATATTACCCCCACTAAGAATGCAGGGTGGCAAGGGAGTATGATTTAATTATTGAAAAAGATAGGAAGCCTCGACTCTGCACCATTCTGTTGGAGAACAGAGGCCATGTGTCTTTTGTAGTGCTGCCCCCAGCACTCAGGGACACTTGAGTGAATGATACTGAACTCACTTTATTAGAAGAGATTGACTTGGCAGAGACGCTCTAATTCCAAGTAAATACAGTGTAAAGCCTAAATAATCATCTCACTCCTATCAGACATTAAAACAAACAGAAATGGATAAAAGTACAAAATGATTTCATCTCAATAACATTCTGGGAGATCTTGGGAGCTCCAGCCTCCTGTTTCTACCAGCGAAGTTAAGCGGAAGCTGGAGGCAATTACCTTGAGATTCTTGCCAAACTAGGGGGGAAATCCAACAATTGCTTTTATCTTGGTTTTGTTACAGGAAACTATGCAAATTGCCAAAGAATGGAATGATTGAATGTGTGTTTAGAACTGCAATAAATTGTTCATTAACATTTGAGATCGATCCAGATCTGGTTAAAGGACATGAAACATTTTACTTGCATTCATACTGAAATCAGTGTGTCAATTTACTCTAAAATTTGAAATAATGGTCCCCAGTTTTCTCAAAACCAAGACCCTCTTAAATTCTTTTTTCCATTTGTGAATGTGATTTTGTCTGGGAAATTACATTTATTAAGTAAATAATCCATCAATTTTCCCACGGGACAACTGGTGTTGCTGCTGCCAGCCCAAAACAGAATTGTTTGCCTGTAAAGTATCATCTTAAATAAGTGAACAGTTCCTTCCAGCTTTCGAAGATAATAACATTTTCCAATTCCCTATTACAGCCTTTAGAGACACCCCCTTCCCCTGCCCAGGATCTTGCTTCCCAAAATTAGGGCCGTGAATCCCAATGGCTTCGCCTCGGTGTGTGGGTGGGGGAACTGTAGCCACAGTAGAAATACAGCACATCTTTCTGGTGCATCAATTTTACTCTCATATTTTAGAGAAATGCTAGCATAGGGTGACATTTTAGAGTAAAATACATGACCAAAATGCATTTTAAGATAAAACACTTCAAAAAACTCATAAGCCTGCTTGAATTTTGTCTCCAGATCCCTTGTGTTAAGTATTAACCTTCTCTGAGAAGCTGTGCCCCGATCTTGGAGGCTGAAATGTTGTGTTTGAAGGTTAGCTTCCCTTCTCCAAGCCAAGACTTCACTGGAGGGCAGGTTCTGCCCTTCTCTCTAAGGGGAGAAGGATAGACTCTCCCGAGGGGACAACAGCGGGAGCTCCAAGCAGACGGGGGAGGGTAGTGAAGAGAACTGCGAGACCTGTGTGGGAAACCCCTATAAGTCCAGAGTAATGGCTGTTAAACACATAACTACTTGATGTGTGGCTGGTGGCCTTTTTTTGGGGGGGCTAGGGGTTTGGAGTGGGGAGAGGTTCTGAAAAAGCACAGAAGGGGCTGAATTGCATGTTAGAGTCAAGATGGCACCCTGTGTAGACAGCACCAGGGGAACGGGTACCCCCAGGGCCAGGAGAAGGTCAGCTCCCATGAGAACAAAGGTCCTGGAGGGATTGGGGTGTCTACTGACCCCAAAATTGGGACACAGGGTAGGATTTTAGGCAATTTTAGTTTGTCTCAAGTGCAACACTGGGTTACACATGTTTTGTTATGTTTTCAAATAAACTTTTAATATTTATTTAATATATACTTTCTAAGCCCTTAATTCATTTTCTCAAGATTTTTAATTCTTTGAATGATGATTATTTTTCCCAGTTTTAGTTATAAATGGAAAGGCAGGAATGTCATTTTATCCATGAAAGGATATTATTTTTAACATTCTAAAAATAAAGCTGATCTACTGATAAAGCATTAAAAAAAGATAGGAAATGTGGTTTGGGCACTGAGGTACGCTAAGCTGTAAGAGAGTGGGATGTAGTGGAAAGAGCCCTCTACCGGAGCTGGAGACCAGGTTCTAGGCCCAATTCCATCACTCAACCCTGTGCGCTGTGGACAGCACCAAGTTCCTGTGTCTTCGTAAAATAAGGGATTGTGCTACAGGGCCTCTTCAGTCCTCCTAGGGCTCAGACAGCACAGTCTTTGGTAGGACAAAGAACATGGACTATTATAGGAAGCAATGAGTATTTGCAACTAAAAATTGAGAACTACAAAATTAATAGAATCTCCAGTATTCCAATATATTTTGGAAGTCAGTCTCTTGGGTGTTGACTTTGTTTTCTAAAATGTGTGGAGCAAGTTGTTCATTTTTTGCTTTGATCCATTACATCTTATTGTTGTTTTAAGTTCATTGAAAAGCTCAGTGGTACCATGTCCCCTGGAATTGTTGTAGGTAACATTTGGTTGAAACATCCTTGTCAGAAGAAGGATTCTTCTGCCCCGCCATCACCACAGTCTGCTGACTGCCTTCTCTGCCACCTGCCACGTGGAGCAGTAGGCCTGGCCCTTCCACCTTAGCGAGTGTCCATTCACTTCAGATCTCAAATAGAAGCTGGACATTTTTTTCCTCTTTCTGAACTCCTATTACCTAAATGTCTAAATTTTTGTTTCAGTTATTTCTTATTTCTCTATTGATCCAAATGAACAATTCCAGATGGAAAATCTTTAACGGTGAATATGGGAAACTGTGGCCGAATAATGTACCTCTCACTAGCATGAATGGGATCTACGTTGTTTTTATTCTTTAAGAGAATAATTCAAGTCGTGGGCCCTTGAATGTCATCCTAAAGGATATCGGGCTTCTGGGCTCACCAGATTCTCCTATACCTTTTGTTCGAGAGTGGAGGTGCCTGGATAGTATTTCCAGGTAATCCACACCTCCTGAGCATCCCTTCTACTGACATAGAAGACCCGCCAGCATCTACTTGCATGAGCGTAATTGAAGCACTCTGGCAGCTGCTTCTGGCGTGTGGATGCTGGATTAGGCTCCTTCAGTGCTCACTGAGTACTCCTGGAGTGTAGATTGCTGATTTCTTCTGAGGTTAACCACTCCCGGGGTACACATGAAAATCAGTTCATGTGCCCTTGTTTGTTGCACTGTTTTGATACCTTACTGAATTATTCTAAAGTAAATGACAGATGGTAGAAGCACTTCTGCTCCAGTTCTCCCTGGACTCCAGCTTGAGACCTTCACAATCCTCCCCCCATGACAAGCATGTGGACAGAGCTCTTTGTCACGGCTTCCAGGCCCAGGGCCAAGTGGCACCTCTCCATCCTCAGGCAGGTCCCGCCTCCCCAGGGCTCTGGGTGTGGTGGGCCCAGCCCATCCAGGTTTCTCTCTTGGAAGGACCGCTCTCATGGACCAGGCCCCTGGGAACCCACACCTTCACCAAGACTGCCGCTTGGAAGTCAAGAAAGGCTTCGGAAACTTTTTTTTAGGCTTTTAACATATTGAGAAAAGAGATGATATACCAAAACAAGGTCACAAAAATTGTGGTACAAAGAATGTTCACATGTAACAAATAAGAACTTTTAACACATGCAAATACAGTGTAAGTTCACTGAGAGATAATGCCTAAAGTCTAGCTTAGGGCCTCGAAGATTGTGAGGCCTCGGGCAATGGGCCTGCGGAGGAGCCCTTGTGACAGGCCCAGCCTCCGGCCTAGACTTCGGAAACCAGAGGTCTCTCAACTTTCCCCTGGCCCAGGCGAAGCCCAGGTCCCCAGAACCCAAAGTTCCTGCTTCCCTCTCGAGCAGAGGAAGGAGAAACACCTCTTTCTTCCAGACCCAGCTAATTTATCCACCAGCTGATCCTGTCTCACAGGGACGGCCTTCTCCTGTCACTGTCAGAGAACTCCTAACCCAGCCTCTTCATTGCCCCTGGGGTGGATTGGCGGCTGTCTTCATCACACTCTCTTTTCTGATTTTCTGATGGCCCGAGTATCCTCTGGCCCCCAAAGCCAGTGGCATGTAATGAGAGAACCTATAGGAATGGGTGGCCGGCTTCTTAGCTCAGTTGAGTCACGGGACTAAGTTGAGTTCAACAAAAAGCACACAGGGAACTGTTAGAATCGTGGGGAGGGGGTGTAGAGGAAGACACATCCCTGGTGGAGACCAGGGGCTGCAGGCTCTGGTACTGTTCCTACGGGGGAAGTAGGCACGTGGGCATATTTTATTATTCTTGAAATCATGTGTGTTCTGTTTATTTTATTATTCTTTAAATGGTGTATGATATATTTTAAATCTTTTAAGACATTTAAAAAATACATAATGTCTCCTCAAATCCCTTTAGGAACAAAGATGAGGTATAAAGAAATGAGGAGCTGAATATGCAAATAAAGTAAACAGTGTATTTACTCTAAATGCTGCTTCTTCCCTCCCAGCACCTGGTCAACATTTCTGATGAAGACACACACGTTCATATTTTACCCCCACAAACCAAATACTTCCAGATCAATTATGAGAAAAAGGTAAGTGCCTTTTGGTTACCTGTCCTCCCCACGGTGTTCTTTGCTGGGTTATGGTTTTCTGTGTCTCAGGCCTGCATGGGCCAGGTGTGCAGTGTGCTGTCACCCACAGTGACAAGAGCCTGCTTGTCTTCCAGGAGCACCGCCTTGTCCCTGGCTTGTCCCTAATGGTCACCGTTACATTTTCTCCAAATGAGTGGCGATATTATTATGACTGCATCCGCGTTCACTGTAAGGCAAGTTTCTCAAAATTGCTTTTTATTTTTTGGAGGGTGGGTTGAAACTTACATCCTCAAGGGAAGAAGAGAGAGGGAAGGACCAGTTGGAGCTTTCTTAGCGTAGCGCCTGTGTGTCCCCCGGTAGCCAGCCTGGCTGGAATACTGGCTCGCTGCCCAGTGACATGGGCTCCCGCTGGGAAAGTGTCAGGCTCTGAGGACCTGGACAGAGTCAAGAGGCACTGTTTGCTGCAGATTTCTCACTGCCCCGCGCCCAGAACCTCATTTATCATTTGGCACTGGTTGTTGATGAAGGCTTTTTCAAATAACTTTAACATACGCCTTTGAGTGCTAGGTTGAAAAATGAACAACCACTTGACTTGTGATTATAAACACCAGCTACAGGAATGTCCGCAGAGGCAGCCCTAAGGGCCAGCAGGGAGGTGGCAGCCCTTTGAGTTCTTTATTTTATTTTTTTATAGCAGAATATTATGGGGTACAAACATTTTGGTTACATAAATTGCTTTTGTACGGTTTGAGTCAAAGTTATAAGTGTGCCCATCCCCCAGATAGTGTGCATTGTACCCATTGGGTGTGAATTTACCCACCCCCTCCTCCCCCACCACCTGCTTGATTTCCAGAGAGTGTTACTTCCATATGTGCACGTAAGTGTTGTTCAGTTAGTTCCAATTTAACAGTGAGTACGTGCGGTGTTTGTTTTTCCATTCTTTTGATACTTCACTTAGAAGAATGATCTCCAGTTCCATCCAGGTTAATACAAGAAGAACTCAAGCAAAACAGCAAGAAAAAAACATTAAAAAGTGGGCAAAAGATATAAATGGAAACCTTTGAGTTTTTCTGAGCCTTTCTTAGGTCACCTAATTCACTCTTTGGCCTTCGGCCAGGGTGGTCAGTCCTTCTCTTAAAACTGTCACCTTCACCCCTCCCTTTGCTCTATAGTCCAAGCCTAATCCTGCAACTTGAGAAGCCCCTAGTTTAACTAAATTCTCGATGATTCAAAACTAAAATGGAAGGGTATGCTTTAGTAACAAATGTTTCCATTTTTTTTTCTTTTCAAGCAATGCTTTTATTACTTACAATCTTACAATAAGGTGACTTATCTTAAAGGCATTTCACTTTGACTTTCCTTTTTTAAAAAAAGTTATAAAAATTTGGAAACTGAATTTTTATAAATCAATAATAGTGTTGTCTCATTGACTGACATCATCATGTTAGAGACGCGTTTCCACAGGGGGAGGGAAAGGACCTTAGACCCAAGACACCTAAAATGGTATTTTAGATCAAAAAACACACTTCCTTAAGAATGTGGCAAACCATTATAATTTTTTGGAGTTTCAATTTTTTGAAAAAATCCTAAAAATGAAACCAGAATATGGCTTTCAGAAGGAAGATCTGCACTGAGCAGAAGAGAAATCCCTGGAAAAGGCGTTGTGTCAAGTGTCAGGGCGTACTTCCTGCTACTTAATGGTAATGCTAATCAATAACAATACCTCACAGTTACGCAGAACTTTGAACTTTTTAAGACCATCATCTGCTTTAATTCTTAAAAACACCTTTAAGGAAAGGCATAGTTGTCTCCATCTTGCAAAGGGAAAAACAAAGCCTTGAGAGGTTAAAGGTCTTGCTCAAGGTAAACGTTATGTGAGACAAGTAGCAGGTTTCTGTGCCCTCCTGCCAGTAAATTGTTTTCTATTCTGCGCTGTCTGGGTCAGGTGATTCTGCACTGGCTTCTGTTTTTCTTGGGTCACTAAAGCTTGTGTTTCCTTATAAGTTTCTGAAATAGAAGCAGATTGATTACTGTCTTCATATCTACATGAGGCATCATTATCTTTAGCTTTCTTGTGACCATCATTTCATTGAAGAATACTTAAAATTTTCTACACTTTGTTTATGGCTAAGAAAACTCAGTATTTCTAATGTTGTACTTAAGCACTGAAGTTTCTTAAGGAAATATTTTTAAACAATAGAAAACAAGATAAGAAATAAAGTATCTACAAGTTTGTCTTTAAAAATTATAGTCTTCAGAATGTTAAACTTGACTTTTTCCTTATTAATTTTAGGGAGATGACACTTTGCTTGTTCCTATCCATGCCTATCCTGTCATGAACAAATTGGACTTTCCCTCATTTATAAATCTGTCAAATGTTCTACTTGGTGAAAGGTGAGTTACCAAAATGAACCAGCAAAATGTTACAAGATGTGAAAAGTTAAGAGATATTCATGTAAAAACTTAGACTTGTATTTGTCCCAATGGAAGCTCATCCTTCCACCTGAAACAGACTGGACCTGTAGTTGCAAAAGGCAAAAAAACAAAAACAAATCAAAATATCATAAGCAAGAAAAGGAATTTATTGGGTCATTGAACTGAAAGGTACAGGCAGAGTGGATCTTTAGGCACAGCTGGGCATAGGGTTTAAGTCAGATTGCAGGAGCTTGACTCTCTCCATATCTTGGTTCTTCTGCCCTGTGCGTCCCTTGCACGGGGGCAAGACAGGTGCCAGAAGCTCCAGATGTGAGGCTGGCAAGAGGGGTGATTGGAGGGGCTGAAGAGATTGGGGTATTCAAACAAAAACCCAACATCAAGTCTTATTGGACCAACCAGCACGTGCCCATACATTAACTCATCTGTTTTTAGATAAAAGCAAGCAAAGACAACAGATATTCACTACAGATGCCAAATCTCAAATGCTCTTCTTCTTGTTTGGAAAATGGTTAATGATTCCCTTTGAAATCTGATATGTCTAATTCTTTCAGTAAATACTTATTAAATGTCTACTCCTAGGCATAGTGCTGTCTGTCCCTAGATGGATACTGAGCTGTTAGTGCGGTATCCATGGTGGGCTGATTGGTTCCAGCATCCTTTGTGGATACCCAAATCCACAGACACTGGTCACTTATGTAAAATGGTATAGTATTTACATATAACCTGTGCACGTCCTCCCATATAACATCTCTAGATTAACCTAATACAATGTAACTGCTGTGTAAATAGTTTTTGTACTGTGTGGTTTAGGAATAATGACAAGAAAAAAAATCTGTACATGTTCAATACAGTCACAGCCATCCTTTTTTTCCTAAATATTTTTGATCCAAGGTTGGTTGAATTTAGACATGGAACCTATGAATACAGAGGGCCAACTGTATAATGGCCATGTCAGTTGTTAAAATATTCAAATACTTCTATATTAGTTGGAAAACATATACTGTCCTGAATCCCCCATCACTGCAGCCCAGCTGCCTGGCCCCTCCCCCCCTTCCCAACGATTCAGCAACTAAGGAGTTAATACCTAGCAATTTGGAGGTGGAGAGAGGCACCTGCAGGACCTGACTCAGCCTTATACAGTATCCACTCCAATTCACTGCTGCCTGTGAAGGGTGGATTGGTTGACATTCTGAATATCACCATGGTGAAAAGATGACTAGACAAATGCTCCAGTTCTGAAAGTCTCAGAGACTAATGGGGATAGGACCATGTCATCAATTAATTATACCAGTTGCTGAGTGCAGCTCGTATAGGAGGTGACATCTGGGTTATCCTAAGAGGGCACCTTGGGCTGGGGACATCAGGATAGCACTCTAGATCGGGAAAGAGCTTCCACAAAAGCATGGTGGTAGCGGACAATGTGGACTACATCACGCAGATGACAAAGGGCCACTGAAGGGCTTTAATCCATCTGGTAACTGGCAAATGCTAAATGCAGTTGACACAAGACCAGAGGAAGGGCAAAGGCAGACCTGGAGGGTGAAAGCGAGGGCAGGTGAGCCTGCAGGCAGCGCTGAGCAGGCCAGGTGAGTTGCTAATGACCGGGTGTGTTGGGTTAGAAAGAAGAGCAAGTGAACGAATTGATGGTGGTGGAGGCTTATGGATCAGTGTGCATGAGCTTCAGGGCCCTTCTTTTTTTAGTCGTCTTCGAGCAGAACTCAAACATTTAGATCTGGAACAATCTCGTTGGTCCAGCTGATGTGTGACTCTCCTCCCCACCCCGCCAGCCCCACACCTTCCCAGTGAGCTCTCACTCGCCATCTCTGTTTACTTTTGTTTTAAAACAATTCTTTAAAAATTTAAAATGAATAATACTTATAAAAGAGTATATAATCGTTTGTACAGTTTAACGAATAACAATAATGAATTCTTGTGTTAAGGCATAAAATATGACCAGTACCTTTGCAGTCACTATTCTGAATCTTGCAGTAGTCATTCCCCGGACTTACTGGACACATATGTATCACCCCAAAATCATACTTTGCTACCTTTGCCAGTTTTTGATCTTTACATAAATGGAGCCACACTGTGTTTGAGTTCTTTGGTAATTGTCTTTTTCCCTCAGCATTATATTTTGTGGTTGAGTCATGTTAGTGTATATTACTGTAGTTCACTGTGTATAGTGTCCACTGCATGAATTTACAACAGGTTTTTTTCCATGCTACTGCTGGTGGACCTACGGGTTGTTTCCACTATTATTATTATTATTTTTTTTTGGTACGACAAACACTGCTTTTTATATCCTGTACAGTGGGTGGCTCTGGGGGCACATGTTCTAGAGTTTCTCCAGGGTATATACCTAGAAGTGGAACTACAGGTCACAACACAGGTTCAGTATACTACGTAATGATAAGCCGTTTTCCAAAACGGTCGTAGGCATTTACACGCCCACTTGCAGAGCGTGAGAATTTCTGTTTCTCCTACAAAGGCATTATCAGACTTTTGCATTTTTGGTGACTTATATGTTCTTGGCCCCATGCTCTTCCATTCTCTATTTATTTTCCCCAAAGAATTCTACCAGAACTCCATCACAGGACTTCCTCCTCCCTCTCACCAACCCTTCCTGTCTTCACTCACTGCTTCTCATATTACAGGGACCCCAAGAATTGAAAAAGGAGAGTCCCTCCTTGCAGAGCACATGGACTCTATGCATCTTGAGGCCCAACAGATATCTCCTTTAAGCGGGCAGATACAGCAAATGTTGTATCAAAAGCTAAGTGGCAGGAAACAACTAACTTCCTAGTTTATTAATTCTTTTTTTATTTCCTTCTTTTTTCCCCTCCACAAATTACTTTTTGTTTGGCTCATAAGCTAGGTTTATGAGTTGAGAACAATGGTTTATAAAACTGTTGAAAATAATATGCCTAATAATGCAGACATCTGTCTTGGATTCTTAAAACAAAAATCTACCAAGCTCCCTGGATGCTGTTTCCAAGCTATGTTGTGCATAATGCTCTTCATTTGTAATCAGGATGAAAATTTCAGCTAAACAGTTTATTTAACCGAGTCATTGTGTATAATGATGTGATATTTTAAAGAAACCTTTCAAAAAACAAGCACGCTACTTTTTTCTTCCCAACATTCTGGCAGCAGGCATTGCCTTCCCAAGACTTCATGCCCATCACATAATGGCTTGTTATCAGCTTTTAACCTCTCAAACTGTCCTGTGCTACATCTAATACAAAATGGGTGGTGACGGGACAGGGCATGAGTATTGGAAAAGGCTGCCACCTAAAATGTTTCCTATTAATCCTAGGCTACCTTGGGGGTTGAAAGTATCATTTGGTTGGTTCTTTATGAAGCATTCATTCATTCATTCATTCAGCCAAGCTTTATTGAATGCCTGCCATGTGCCAGGCACACTGTGAGATCCTGAGGTTGCAGAGATGGTCAAGACCTAGTGCTATGATTACATGCACAGTTCTCATTCCTGATCCAGTGTATGCTGAGGAAGAATGTCCAGCTCCAGTGAGGGGGGAGCTCAGACAAGGCTTCCAGGAGGAGAACATGTCTGAACTGTCTGGAAATTTGACCAGAAATTAGCCAGCAAAAGGAGGGCATGGAGTGGAAGAGAAGAGGGGTTGTCCCAGGCAGTGCAGTAGCACAGGCAAAGGTAGAGATGGGAAACAGGGTGGCACATTTGGGCCTGTCTAGAACATTCCTGTGACTGGACATGGGTGCACAGGCTGTGGCAGGGGAGTAGGGAGAGGGCTGAGCGAGAAGGGCCTCATAGGCTTTGCTATGATTTTACCCTGAAAGACTGAAGTGGAGAAATGGCACAGCACAGCTCCAGCTTAGAAACCTCACTTCGGCTGCCATGTGCAGAGCACTGGAAGGGCCATGGCCAGGACTGCTGTGGTGAGCCAGGCACAAGACAGAAGAGGGCCCGGGACACTTGGAAAATAGGCAGTGATGGCAAATACCCAAATATATCGCAGGGTCTTAGGTCAGGTTCCTTAGAAGCACAAACAGGATTCATTGTACATGATTTATTAAGGAATAACTTGTACAGCAGTGAAGGCTAGGGATGAGGGTGCCCAGTCCCCCAGCCAAGGGCACTTCTCTGGAGAAGGTCAAGGTGACAGGCAGCTGGTGAAGGAGAGTGCCAACAGGACACCTACAAATCTACGACAAGCTGACTGGTCCTTGACTTACCCGTCCGGTCTGTCCACGTCCACTGGGCTTCATCTACCTCTGCAATCTTGCTTTCCTGGAGTGATGGCGGATTCCATGAGCAGTTGAGTGGATACCAGCTGTCGCCTGGCAGAGGCGATAACCTCCTGGTGGATGTGTCATTACTGGATAATGCAGGGCTGACGTACACCACTGAACCATCTCTGGGCTGCTTTCCCTCCCCAGGACAGACCAGGGCCCAGGAAGGAGACATGGGCAGCCTCCAGTGACTCCTAATCAGTGGCACACTGAGAGGTGGGTGGTGGGCGTGGTCTGCTCCACATGCAAGCAATTGGGGGGAGGGGACAGCATCTGTAGAAAATGTTTAAACAATAAACTTTACCAAAAGTCAGTCTGCCTTTGCGTTTCACCAAGCACCAACAATTCTAAATATTACTGGTGATAAAATATTCCTCCCTGGAAGGGTGGGCTTGCTCCCTGCCACTGCATCTAATGCATGAGAAGCAGTCGCCTTCAATTCCGATCTCACCTGTGGTCTCCAAGCTTGCCACTCTCATTTTGTTCGTATCACAGCCTGTCCTTGTCTGCAAGGCCCACTGAGCCATCCACCTTGCTCCTTCTCTGCCTTAGCATGAGCCCCCCTAGTACAGACAGGAGCACCCCCAACATGGCTTCATTCATTTCTGCAGGGGCTGCCTGTCACATCAGACTATGGGACCAGAAATAATGCACCTCTGCGTGCTGCCTCTCTGCATTTGTCCCAG